GGAAACTAATAACCAAATAAATGAAATGATTTCTTCAGAGCCATATAGTTTATATTTGTAAGCAGCAGGGTCTGGATACACATTCTCTCCATTGCCACTGGCTTCTTCTAGGCCCCTTGGGAGGCAGCTGCTGCCTACTCTCTCTTCTGGGCTCTTGTTCCTGGCTAAGCCACTGGCAGGACAATCCTAGGCAGGATGTCTGCAAGGGAAGGTGGTCCCTGGGGCTCCAGGACAGGGAGTGGGTATGAGGCAGGGTTAGGGTGTGGGAGTGGGCCATCCTGATGGGCACTGTGCTTGGTAGGCTGTGCTGGAAAGCAAGTGGCCGCCCACTGGCACACCAGGTGGGCGCCTGCGCTGGGCCAAGCTCCGGAATGTTGTCCTGGGGGCTGCTCAGTTCCGCCAGCCCTTGAGAGAACGGCGACAGCAGCAGCAGCAGCAGCAGCAGCAGCAGCAGCAGCAGCAGCAGCAGCAGGCGTCAGCACATCAAGACACAGGCAGCTCCCAGGCCGGTGGGTAGGGCCTGGTGAGACAGGCTTGGGGATGGAGTACCTGGGCTCAGGCAGGGAAAGGCATGGAGAGCTGGGGCTGGTCTAATGGTTGGCATTCTGTTTCTGGGGATTGATAAATTACACGTGGCTGGCAACAAAATGGATAAAATTTTGTCTGGGAGGAACCCTGCAAACCCAGGTCCATCTAAGGAGCTCTATTTTGGAACAGGGGACTTGCTTCCTAGCCAGCTGCCTCTAAACCCCTTCTCATCTTTTACAGAGCCCTATCTGGAGCGCCCTTCCCCTACTCGCACCCTTCAGCGCCAGACTACTTGGGCTGGGCGAAGTCTGAGAGACCCGGCCTCACCCCCTGGGCGCCTGGTGAAGAGTGGTAGCCTGGGCAGTGCCCGAGGGGCACAGCCCACTGTGGAGGCTGGTATGGCCCACAGTGAGTGCCCTTGTCTGTCTCCCCCACTCCCCCAATCAACTTTTCTAACCACCTGCTAGTGAGGAAGGGAAGACCAGAGACAGTGGAGGGCAGCCCTCTGTGGTGGGTGCTGTAGACTCTGAGGGAGTCCTGCCCAGGATGTCATCATGGTGGGGGTTGTGGCACCAGAGTTTGTGCAGCCAGGAATTGTGTTTACTCAGGAAAGGAGAAGCTGGTGGAGAGGCTGGGCTTCATCTTCCCTCATTCTTTTCTGTGCTGCAGTGATAGAGGCCTTGGGGGTCCTGGAACCCCGGGGATCACCTGTGCCCTGGCATGATGGAAGTCTCTCAGACCTGAGCCTGACGGGGGAAGAGCCACTCCCTGGAGGCAGCCCAGGTGGCTCCGGCTCAGCCCTGAGTGCCCAGTCCACTGAGGCCCTGGAAGGGCTAAGTGGGCGGGGACCCAAGGCTGGCGGGCGACAGGATGAGGCAGGCACCCCCCGGCGAGGGCTGGGTGCCCGCCTCCAACAGTTGCTTACTCCTTCCCGCCACTCCCCCACCTCCCGCATTCCCCCACCTGAGCTGCCTCCTGACCTGCCTCCCCCAGCCCGCCGCAGCCCCATGGACAGCCTTCTGCGCCCCCGGGAGCGTCCTGGATCTACTGCCTCTGAGGTAGCCAGCGAAGGAGGGTCCAGACACCTCAGCATTAGTGGGGCTTGAGGAGGGCTACAACTGGAAGAATGTCCAAAAAGGGGGCTCTTGGGTAGAAGAGCATGGGGTTAGCTAACCATGGTTTCTCATGTCATGGCAGAGCTCGGCCTCTCTGGGCAGTGAGTGGGACCTCTCAGAATCTTCCCTCAGTAACCTGAGTCTTCGCCGTTCCTCAGAGCGCCTCAGTGACACCCCTGGATCCTGCCAGTCACCTTCCCTGGAAGTAAGGATAACCCCTCCCACACAGATGTACTTGAACACACATAGCACACAGTCACCCTGTCAAAGGCAGGAGATGGGAAGGAGGTGGGAAGAGCTGGGGCAGGGGCATGGGCTCCAGAGTGCTGGCAGCCAGACAGGGCCTACTTCCTGGCTCTCCCTGCCCACAGATTCTGCTGTCCAGCTGCTCCCTGTGCCGCGCCTGTGATTCGCTGGTGTACGATGAGGAAATCATGGCTGGCTGGGCACCTGATGACTCTAACCTCAACACAACCTGCCCCTTCTGCGCCTGCCCCTTTGTGCCCCTGCTCAGTGTCCAGACCCTTGATTCCCGCCCCAGGTGCCCAAGGCAGGGCAAGTGCTGTGGGTGGGGTAGGGAGGTGAAGGTCCAAGAGCTGACCCCCTGCTGCTGTCCCCCTGCAGGGTTCCCAGTCCCAAGCCTGCTGGTTCCAGTGGCAGCAGAGATGCTCCTGTCCCTGGGGGTCCTGGCCCTGTGCTCAGTGACCGCAGGCTCTGCCTTGCTCTGGATGAGCCCCAGCTCTGCAACGGGCATATGGGGGTAAGGGCTGGGCCACGGGGCATGAGGAATGGGATTGCTGCCCTGTGTGGGGCCTGTGGGATGCCAGGGAGAGATGAGCACAGCTCTTTCCCTTAAGGGCAAGGGGCATCCCAGAAGCTGTTGGATGTGGTGGCTCAGTGAGAGGCAAGGCTCTGGGGATGTACATTCCCTCTACTGCCCTCCCGCTTTGTGCCTGATAGGGAGCCTCCCGGCGGGTTGAGAGTGAAGCATGGGCATACCTGAGCCCCCTGGTGCTGCGTAAGGAGCTGGAGTCACTGGTAGAGAATGAGGGCAGTGAGGTGCTGGCATTGCCTGAGTTGCCCTCTGCCCACCCTATCATCTTCTGGAACCTTCTGTGGTATTTCCAACGGCTACGCCTACCCAGTATTCTACCAGGCCTGGTGCTGGCCTCCTGTGATGGGCCTTCACACCCCCAGGTCGGTGCCCCCATGTGGCCCCTGTTTCCTAAGTGCCTCCCTCCTCTTCTCTCAGCTGTCTGTCTGCCGTGTCCTTGGAACTGTAGAAAGAGCATGGGCTGTGGAGTCTGTTCCACCTGGTTTGCATCCTGGCCCTTTCACTTACCACTCTGAGCCTCAATTTTGTCATCTGTAAAATGGCATAAGCACCTATCTCACTGGGCGGTTGTACAGACAACCTTGTGCAGAGCCTGGTACCTAAAAAATGATTCATATTGTCTGTTCGTTCCACCAGTATTGAGTGCTTTTTATGTTCCAGGCAGTTTTAGGTACTAGTTATGTAGCAGATTACAGAACAGTCGTTGCTCTGAAGAGCTTACATTCTTGATGGAATGAGAATTCCTTTCCCTCTTCTCTTTGGCTGTGTCCTGTAATGTCCCACTGTCTCTTTGTCACCACCTGTCCATTTCTTATCCTCTGCCTCCCATTCCTTGAGCCTAACTGTGTCCCCTATCTTGGTTCCCCCAGGCCCCATCTCCTTGGCTAACCCCTGATCCAGCCTCTGTTCAGGTACGGCTGCTGTGGGATGTACTGACCCCTGACCCCAATAGCTGCCCACCTCTCTATGTGCTCTGGAGGGTCCACAGTGAGTCTGGTATTTGGCCTGGGCTGGGAGGGTGGGTCCTATACCCAGAGGGCTCAGTGATCCTGGTGGCTTTCTTTCCTTTCATCCAGGCCAGATCCCCCAGCGGGTGGTGTGGCCAGGCCCAGTACCTGCATCCCTTAGTTTGGCACTGTTGGAGTCGGTGCTGCGCCATGTTGGACTCAATGAAGTGCACAAAGCTGTGGGGCTTCTGCTGGAAACTCTAGGGCCCCCACCCACTGGCCTGCACCTGCAGAGGTATGATGCTACCATCTGGGTGGTCCCTGGCCTGTCCTGGGCTCTGCACCCCTTTTACCTTGCTCATATACTTCTGTCTCCACCACAGGGGAATCTACCGTGAGATCTTATTCCTGACAATGGCTGCTCTGGGCAAGGACCATGTGGACATAGGTGAGGGAGCAGGCAAGGGGCTGAGGGGTTTTGGGATCTGGGGCCAGGTGTGGGAGGCTGGGGTCCTAATGTATTGACTTCCACCTTCTTCCCTAGTGGCCTTCGATAAGAAGTACAAGTCTGCCTTTAACAAGCTGGCCAGCAGCATGGGCAAGGAGGAACTGAGGCAGCGGCGGGCACAGATGCCCACTCCCAAGGCCATTGACTGCCGAAAATGTTTTGGAGCACCTCCAGAATGCTAGAGACCCTTAATCCTCCCTATCCAGCCTCGGGTGGGGAAATGAGGGAGAAGGGATTCCAGAGTTAACCTCCTTCCCTGTTCCCTTCATGGAGTTGGGAACAGGCTGGGAAGCATGCCCGGTGAAAGGCTCCCATCGAGGACAGCAGGAAGAGGGACCCACTGTTACCAAAAGTCCTGACTGCCCCGTCTCCAACCTACCCAGTTTGTTCGTGCTGATGTTGGGGGGAGATCTAGGGGTGTTGGGACAGCTCTGTTCTTCCCTTGTTCTATACCAGGAACTCCCCTCCAGGGTACCCACAGATCTGCACTGCCCTGGTCATTTTTAAAGTTTTTGTTTTAAAAAACAACTGGAAAGATGCAGAGCTACTGAGCCTTTGCCCTGAATGGGAGGTAGGGAGCTCATTCTCCACCAATAATGGTCCCTCTTCCCTGGCGTTGCTGAAGGAGCCCAAGGCTCTCCATGCCTTTCTACCTGAGTGTTTGTATTTTATTTTATTTATTTTGGAGCCACAGCCCCCTTGCTTATGAGGTTCTTATGGAGAGTGAGAAAGAGAAGGGAAATAGGGCACCATGGTCTGGTGGTTTGTAGTTCCAAAGTCAGGTATTGAGAGCTAGAGGAGTCTTAAGCTCCCCTTAGGAAGAACTGGTGCCCCCTCCAGTCCTAATTTTTCTTGCTCGCCCCACCTTGGGGAATGCCTCTCCCACCCAGGCCCTGACCTGTGCAATAAGGATTGTTCCCTGTGAAGTTTTGTTGGATGTAAATATAGTAAAAGCTGCTTCTGTCTTTTTCCTTCAGCCTCCTGTTCCCTGGGTCTGGGTAATGGGGGATACCTCTCATTTTCCCTTGGCTATATATCTGCCTTTCCACCTTCCCATCCTTTATAGTCTTCAGGCATACCCTGCTTCCCCTGACCATGTCTGGGACTGGCCCCTTGGGGCACAGGGAGTTCTTAGAGCAGAAGGGTGAATCTGGTGCTGACTATGGTGGTGCCAGTCTATGTGGCACTTCCGGCCTTCCCACACAATCACCCCCTTGTCCCTCATCTGTACCCCACACAAAGGCTCCATTCTCTGGGGACCCTGAGCTCATCTCTGCCTTATTTCCTCTCTTCCACCTTCCCCCCACCAACCTTCTCCAGCACCTCCAAAGGAATAACAATCCTCTCCCCAGTAGTTGGTGTGGGCAGCCCTCATGCATCCTGGGGGACCTGGCAGTCATCCTAGGCTGCCTTAGTTGCTCTAGCTGCAGGCTCTATTCCTCCAACCAGGGTCTCAGCCTGGCAACAGCACCAGGAAGACAGGGGCAAAGATTAAGGCACTTGCTGCACGTAGACATCAGGAAAACATGCACCATTTTCCTTATCCCTTCGGTCCACTCAAGGGCTCTCTCTCTTTTTTTTTTTTTTTTGACTGTATAATGAAATAAACACAGGAAACGACTCCTAACAGAGTGATAAACCAATTACCAAAGGGAATTAGCCAACAAAACAAATGCCTTGGGGAAGGAGAGCAGGCATATCAATGGAGGAAATAATTTAGGAGAGCACATTTCTCAGGGATGGAGATCACTGGATGAAGAGTGAGGTACTACTTCTGGATGCTGATTCTTTCAAGCCAAAGGACCCTTTCCTGTTCTGTCTAGAGCATGTTAGGATGCTTTTCCAGTGTCTTTGAGGAGCTGCAAAGAAGGGAACCAAGGGGCTTAGGAAATGCCATTTGTCTACCAGGAGATGCTTTCTTCAGAGGGAAACTCTCATGCCACCCCAGTTTCTCATCAGACCCTAGTCCCCAGGATAAACCTCTCCATGCTTCATCCCTCAAAGACCTTTCCAAGGGAGGACCTCCCCTTTTAAAATCATTTTAAGGCTGGGCACGGTGGCTCACACCTGTAATCCCACCATTTTAGGAGGCTTAGGCAAGCAGATCATTTGAGGTTGGGAGTTCTAGATCAGCCTGACCAACATGGAGAAACCCCGTCTCTACAGAAAATACAAACTTAGTCGAGCACAGTAGCACATGCCTGTAATCCCAGTTACTCTGGAGACTGAGGCAGGAGAATTGCTTGAACTAGAGGTTGCGGTGAGCCAAGATTGTGCCACTGCACTCCAGCCTGGGCAAAAAGAGCGAAACTCTGTCTCAAAAAAAAATCATTTTAAAATCAAGTTTCTGTGGAGTGGAGTGTGCTCAGCACTGCACTGAACTATAGAGACAATTTCAGGGCTCAGTCCCTACTCTAATAGAGCATACAGTCTTACTGGTCTAGGGGATCCTTTTGTTCACAAACAGTAACAATAATCAACTTTCTCTCCCAGCTTATGCGTCTCACTTCTGGGCCTCTTTCTAGAGACTTGCATTCAGATGGGAGAACTACAGAATTATTTAATCACAAGAATATCTAGGCCGGGCACAGTGGTTCACCCCTGTAATCCCAACACTTTGGGAGGCCAAGGCAGGCAGATCATTTCAACCCAGGAGTTTGAGACCAGCCTGGCCAACATGGCAAAACCCCATCTCTCCTAAAAATACAAATATTAGCTGGGCATGGTGGTTCATGCCTGTAATCCTAGCTACTTGGGAGGCTGAGGCTTGCTTGAACCCAGGAGATGGAGGTTGCAGTGAGCTGAGATCATGCCACTGCACTCTAGCCTGGCTGACAGAGTGAGACACTGTTCCAGAAAAAAAAAAAAATTGGGGAATTTTAATAGCAAAGTACTCAAAATGAATCTGACACATCTGTCTGTTCTGTGGTCTAGGGAACTGTATGAGAGGAAGGATATGCCCAAGTTACCTGGCTCAATTTCTCCTCCCAGGCTTTAGAGCATATAGGCTTAAATATAAAAAAATTCGGCTGGGATGGCCTGGTGTGGTGGCTCACTACTGTAATCCCAGCACTTTGGGAAGCTGAGGCGGGCAGATCACCTGAGGTCAGGAGTTGGAGACCAGCCTGACCAACATGGATAAACCCCGTCTCTACTAAAAATACAAAATTAGTCTGGCATGGTGGCATATGCCTGTAATCCCAGCTACTTGGGAGGCTGAGGCAGGAGAATTATTTGAACCTGGAAGGCAGAGGTAGCAGTGAGTGGAGATTGCGCCATTGCCCTTCATCCTGGGCAACCAGAGCAAGACTCTGTCTTAAAAAAAAAAAAACAACTGACTGGGGCTGGGCGTGGTGGCTCATGCCTATAATTTCAGGACTTTGGGAGGCCAGGGCAGGTGGACTACTTGAGGCCAGGATTTCAAGACAAGCCTGGCCAATATGGTGAAACCCCATCTTTACTAAAAACACAAAAAATTCTCTGGGCGTTGTGGGGTCTGGGGGCAGCACCTGTAATAACAGCTACTCAGGAGGCTGAGGCATGAGATATAATCGAACCTGGTTGGTGGAGGTTGCAGTGAGCTGAAGACACACCACTACACTCCAGCTGGGGCAACAGAAGGAAATTCTGTCTTAAAAAAAAAAAAAATTGGCTGAGTGTGGAGGCTCATGCCTGTAATCCCAGCACTTGGGGAGGCTGAAGCAGGTAGGTAGATGGCTTGACTTCAGGAATTCAAGACTACCCTGGGCTACATGATAAAACTTAATCTGTCTCTATAAAGTTTTTTAAAAATTGAGGAAAATCTGTGTCTGCCATTTAATAATTTTATGATATCCTACAATTTATTTTATTGATGTGCCTCAGCTTTTCCTCATCTGCAAATTGTTTAAAGATTAACTATATAATCCGCAGCTTCAAAAAGGGAACAAATAGGTAGAGCCTGCATAGGGCACAGGTCATGTCCACTACAGTACTGACCTCATGTACTTGTCTTCCTTAGAGCTCCATCACTCCAGACTGAAAGTCCCCCTCCATGGTCTAATTTTGGTCTTGTTGAAAAGTATTTTCTTGGACCTTATTATTGTCCTGGGGCTGGTATAGTCCACCACCATATCTCCTCAAAGCCCTTGAAGGATGGCATTTCAGACAGCAAACAATGCATTGGACTGATAATAGACAAAGAAGTAGGTTAGGGAAAGATGAATGTACCCTCAATGAGGGCAATGACTTTTCTAATTCACTGCTATATCCCAAGCACATGGATGAGTGCCTGATAACCTAATAGGTGCTCTGTCATGTGTGTTCAATGACTGAAAGGACTCTGAAAGCATTAAAATATTGCAGTTAGAAGAGAAATACTTTTCAGTGCAGTATAAGACAGGTACCATGGGTAGAATACCAACAGAAGCTGAATTTAGAGGTAAAAGAGTGAAATTGTTGAAAAAGCAAGGAAAAGTTCTCAAAATAGTTAATATGTTGAGTACTTTAACTATATTTTTGGCAGTGCCCTGAGCATTTCGAAGTTATTATTTTATAATTCTCACAATTACCTGTGAGCTGGGTACTCTTATTCCCATTTTATAGATGGGGAAACTAGAGGATAGAGAATAGAGGTAAGTAACTTTCAGCCAAATCACACAATGGTTTAGAGGGAGAGCCAAGATCCAAACTCAGGCAGTCTGACTCTAGAGACCATATTCTTTACATAGACACTATACTAGCATAAAAACAAGTTTTAATCCATTTAAAATAAGAATTAGGTCAGGCATGGTGGCTCACTTCTGTAAATCCAGCACTTTGGGAGGCCAAGGTGGGTGGATCATGAGGTCAGGAGTTCAAGACCATCAACATGGTGAAACCCCATCTCTACTAAAAATACAAAACTTAGCCAGGGGTGGTGGCAGGCGCCTGTAATCCCAGCTATGGTGGGGGCTGAGGCAGAAGAATTGCTTGAACCTGGGAGGTGGAGGTTGTAGTGAGCCAAGATTACATCACTACACTCCAGCCTGGGAGACAGAGGGAGATTCCTTCTCAAAAAAAAAAAAAAAAAAAAAAAAAAAAAAAGCCAGGTGCAGTGGCTCACTCTTGTAATCCCAGCACTTTGGGAGGCCAAGGAGGGCAGGTCATGAGGTCAGGAGATCGAGACCATCCTGGTCAACATGATGTCTCTACTAAAAATACAAAAGAAAACCCCATCTCTACTGAAAATACGGGATTTAGTAGAAACCCTGTCTCCATAAAAATACAAAAATTAGCTAGGCGTGGTGGTGTATGCCTGTAATCCCAGCAACTTGGGAGGCTGAGACAGAAGAATTGCTTGAACCACAGAGTAGGAGGTTGCAGTGAGACAAGATCGTGCCACCGCACTTCAGCCTGGCATCAGAGTGAGACTCAGTCTCATTAAAAAAAAAAAAAAAGAGGAGGGGTTGAATACTGCTTGCAGTGATGTACGGCTGTAGTCCCAGCTATCTGGGAGGCTGAAGCAGGAGGACCTCCTGAGCCCAGGAGTTTCAGATCAGCCTGGGTAACACAGCAAGACTTCATCTCTAATTAAAAAAAAAAAAAGTGTGTGGGGGAGGGCGGGGGCACAGTGGCTCATGCCTGTAATCCTGACACTTTGGGAGACCAAGGTGGATCACTTAAGGCCAGGAGTTCGAGACCAGCCTGGACAACATAGTGAAACTCTGTCTTTACTAAAAATACAAAAATTAGCCAGGCATGGTCACACACGCCTGTAATGCCAGCGTGGTGGGAGGCTGAGGTGGAAGAATGGCTTGAGCCTAGGTGGTGGAGATTGCAGGGAGCTGAGATCGCACCACTACACTCCAGTTTGGGTGACAGAGCCAGACTGTGTCAAAAAGAAAGAAATAGAAAAACAATAGGGGCATGTGTGTTTGTGTAGGATCTACCTACGGCTTTATGTTACCATGTCTTCCATTATAATTTTATTTCCAATGCACAGTATGACTTTTAAATAATTTAAAAAACATGTTCTAATGCCTGTGGAGGCCGGCGTGGTGGCTCACGCCTGTAATCCTAGCACTTTGGAAGGCTGAGGCAGGCAGATCACCTGAAGTCAGGAGCTTGAGACCAGACTGGCTAACACGGTGAAACCCCCATCTCAACTAAAAATACAAAAATCAGCCAAGCATGATGGTGTGCACCTGTAGTCCCAGCTACTTGGAAGGCTGTCAGGAGGATAGTTTGAACCTGGGAGGCAGAGTTTGCAGCGAACTGAGATTGTATTACTGCATGCATTCCAGCCTGGGCGACAGAGTGAGACTCTGTCTCAAAACAACAAAATGCCTGTGGAACCAGTTGTTTCTGGGTTAAAACCCCTGCTTAGTCACTAGCTGTCTGACCTTTGGCTGGTTACTTAACCTCTCTAAGCCTTAGTTTCCTCATCTACCCGGGTTCAAATTTCAGCTCTACCACTTAACATGTAACTTTGGACAAAATTTTTGATCCTAATTTTCCTCATCTGTAAACCAGGGGTAACAGTATCCACCTCATAGTCATGAGGAATAAATACTTCATATAAAGTTCTTAGCACAGAGCCTGACACAATCTCTTTCCGAAAACGTTAGCTACTATTCTAACCTTAACACCTGGACTCTGTTACTTGGTCCCTATCCTCAGGTGCTCCACAAACGCTGAGCATAGGGGGCCTAACTGCTCCGGGGAAGTAGGGAGGGCAGCAAGAGGAGCTGGCCCTTGAGCTGATTAGGTGGAATCGGGCGGGGTGGAAGACTCCTCGCTTAGAACCTAACCAGACCAGCAGTTCCCAAGAGAAGGAGCTGCGAGGGCTGTGCACACACTGTAATTCCTCAGTAATTTGGCTAGCTGCCTTTTTTTTTTTTTTTTTTTTTTTCCCCGCTGTCGTGGTTTAGTCACGACAGGACCAAGCGGAGGTACGACGAACACCAGGAAGCTCAAAGCTTTTGGCAGACGAAGACAGGCCACACCCCAAAAAGACGGCAAGGCCCAAGCGCCTAAAGCTAGTTCCATCGTGAAATTCCTAGATTCTGTCGCGACGAAACACCGCCCACCGCAGACCCCAGCGCCGTTCGCCAGTCTCCATCTTTAGAATTGAAAGAATGAGAGCTGGCCAAAGGGGAATCCCGGTTTGGAGAGCCTGGGGTACGGCGGCTGCCTGGGGACTAAAACGTCTCTAAGGTAAAGTTGCAGCCTGAAGCGATTTTTTGACCCCCGACACTTAATGGGCTGTCGAAGACCCGGATGTGTCTGGGACTGGCCGAGGTACCCATTAACGCGCCCCCGCTAGACCATCCCCCCTCCTCCGTTTATGATTGGGTTTTAAGCACGCCAATCATCGCTTCTCCGGCCACTCATTCTTCAAGGGTGGGGTGAAGTCACAGCATCTAGTCTTCTATTGGTATGGCCGAGAAGATGAGGGCGGGGTGGCCGGCTTAGGTCGCCCAATGGGCGTCGTGGCGTGTGGGTAAGGCGGGGCCGAGGCGCTTGGCAGCTGCCCAATCAGCGTCCTTGTTTGTGTGGTGCCGCCGCCGCCGGTGCAGCCGCCGCCGCCGCCGCTGCCCCCGTCTGTACCGCAGTGTCTGCTCCGCCCGCCCGCCCCGGTCCGGCCCGCCCCCCTCCCCCACCCCCGCCCCTAGTCCCGTCAGCAGGGTCTGGATCCCACTGTGCCGTCGCCTCTTCCTTTTTCGACGCCTCTGCCGCCGCCTGAGGAGGCGAGCTAGCCGGGAGTTACACCGCCACCGCCAGGTGAGGCGCTTTGGCCTAGGCCAGCCTGGCCGCCTGCCCGCCCGGGGGCGGTGAGGAGCGAGGAAGGGAAGGAGGCTGGGAGGAGGCGCTGGTGGCGGAGGTGGGGGAAGGGAAAGGTGGAGGGGAGGGGGGAGGGGAAGCTCCCGCGAGCCGACGCCCGCCCGCGCGCCCCCGTCTTGCGTCCCCCTCCCCCCACCCCGGCACGGCGCGCCCCCGCCTCGCGTTCCCTCTTCACCTCATCCTCTCCCCCCTCTGCGCGCGCGACCCGGTCTTTCACTTCGGCCTCGCGCGCCCCCAGCTCGTGTCCCTTCATTCCGTCTCCTTGTACTCTTTCTCCCCTCCCTCACGCCCCGTTTCCCCCGCCATCCCCGCTTTCACTCCCTGCCTCATGCCCGCCATGCTCCCCTCCTTTCCTCTCTAGCGCGCCCCCCCCCTTTTTTTTTTTTTTAACTCTCTCCACCCTCAGTGGTGCCCTCAGGGTGCGGGGGCCGCTCCCTGCTCTCAGGCTTGTGTTTGCGGGCGGATGGGACGAATGGGGGAACTAAGGGTGAAGGAAGCACCAGATAATTATCTTTATTTAGGGAAAGGGATCAGGAGCTCAGAACCTTACCCCTTTATTTCGTCGTCCACCGTTCCCTCGCTCTCCCGTAGGGGAAGAGAATTGTCTCAGCCTGTGTGGGCACTTGGCTTCCACAGCGACTAGGCTTGTGGGACACGCTGGATCTGTCTCCCAGTTCAGTGCCTGAGGGTCGATAGAACTTACCCTTCCCTAACCAGACCCGGACTTAGAGTACTTTTGGCCTCCCCGCTCTTAGTTACACCGAGGAGCGAGCCACTCCGGCGAGTGCAGTGGTTTAGGTGCCATTCGCGCGCTCGGTACAGCTTTCCCCTTTCATAAAGGTATGGTAGCCTCTTTGGATTCTTCCCCAGCATCAACTTCCAAACACAAGATGTTAGCTCATAGGGCTGGCACTGAGGTGGAGGTGGAGGCTTGGTGGTGGGTGGCATGTGGATGCTGACTGAGCTAGCAAGCAACCTTTTTCCTCTGCTGTCCCCTGCAGAATCGGGGAGCCTCCTGAGAACCAGTTTTCTCACTTCTGATAAATGCTTATTTGGAGGGTGTGTGTGTGTTTGTGTGTGTGTGTGTGTGAGAGAGAGAGAGAGAGAATATGAAGGGGGTACTTAACGTATTTCAGCAGAGGCGAAGGATACTTAATATATCAGCAAAGGGCAATGTTTTCAGGCCAGACTGCAAAAGAGGAATTTGGACTTGTAGCTGATGGGATAAAAATGGGTTTAGCAGATCTGTGTTGGAGAAGAGCTGATGCTTTTGTAGTTTTTAGGGCATTTTTTCTAAAAATTTATATTTTGAGGAGAAAAGCATGCTTGTCGTGGTACAAAGTAAAAAGCAAACTTCCCTCACACCTCTGTCCTCCAGCTATCCAGTCCCCTTCCCTTCCCCTCCTAGTGCAGATGACAGCAAGATGGTGTCTATATGTTGTTTTCTGGCAGCAGCATGGTGTCTATATGTTGGTGATTATCCTATTTGGGAATTTAGTGCTAACTTTCTTGCTCTTTATTTCGTTTGCTTACCTGAACTCTTCCTTGAAGTTTGGTAACGACTTGGATTCTTATTTTTGGTACTGGAGCATTCTTTCGAGTATTGTCCTAGAGTAGTATTTCTGTCAGTACTTAGTTGGGAAGGAGGTCACTTCTGGAGGTGCTATGGAGGGGTTCAGTATATTTTGAAGGAAGGCCCACACTTGTAGTGCTGCTTTTGTGTGTGTGTGACTGATAGATACCTAGTCCCTGCAATTTGGGAATGGTCTGGGTCAAGGATCGGATTCATATAAACAGATAGCTTATATTAATAATTTGTAGATGGTAGAGCTGTCTTCACTTTTTAGGGGAATAGACTTTTTAATCCAGTGGCAGTGATAGTCATCATGGAACAAGGTAGAAAAGTACTAATCGGCAGGAATCAGAAGGCTGGATCTATAGGCTGGGTGACCCAGTTTGAGAAGAGGTGAGGCTTACAGGCTTCTGTCTTGCCTATTATTCCTTACTTGAAAACACTCTCCATGAGGTGAGAGTGATTTGTAGTTGACAGCACATCCATCTTTATGATACTGTGGTTTGCTTCCCATGACTGTATGTGATGTCTGTTAACTTCCTGTTTAGAGGCAGTCCTACTAGGGTCTGAATATAGGCTGCATTCGAATACTTTTTTAGGAACAGTGTTAACCAGGTTCCCTGATCAGCCCATCAAATCTAAGTTCTGGCAGTAACTTTTACTGCTGTGCTTAGCATAGGGCCACAGGGTGGTGGCAGAGGGAGGTGTGAGGAATTTGTTCTGAGCCTCACAGCCTTAAATTACTTTCAAAAGCTTGTATGCTGTCTCCCATTTTGGGAGTTCATCTCCTCCCCTTTTTGCCAGATGGGCAAGGGTGGACCTTCCAGGTTGGATTTTGGGGATCATTCAGTGAAGGTATCCTAACTATGTGTTGGGACCTCTGAATTTATCTCACATTTAAGCCGGGAGTCTTGTATGTTGCACGTAAAGCACGCCTCTTGTTTAAATTTACTGATTCTTCCTTCCTTTCCTCCCCCACCCACCAAGTTGGAGGTATATGTATAGGAAAACAGCAGCTGTGCTGTCCTGATTTTTAGACTCTGGAGCATATTCCATGTTAGCCACCCCATTGGGAGTCATGCTGACAATTAGCCCCTCTGCACTTAGCTCAGAATGTTCATGTTGCTTGGCCCATTGAGAAAAGCTAACCAGCTCTGGTTAATTAAAACAACTGCTGGAGAAATCTGAAGATTTGAGCCATAACTGAGACTGAGGGACTCTCTTTTCTAGACCTTTGCAGTACTTCAAGCCCTGCATCATTACCTATCAAGGCACGATAGCCAGACATTTTCTGAGGTAATTTGGAGGGAAAGAAAAAGTAAAGACACACCCAGATTGACTATAAATCTAGTTCTGGCATAAAGCTGTCCACCTCTTGCTTGGGGAAAAATCCAACCTATCAGACAATACCACAGAGTTGCAGTTCTGCTGTTGGCTAAGCCTGGGAAAAGATACATAAGGAAGTTCAGTTTCTGAAAATGACTGGATTTTGGGGTGAAAGCTTCTATGAGCCATGTTGTTTGGTTTATTCTCAGTAATCTCGGTGAAGCTTTTTCTATAGGTCCTGGTTGGGGATTTTAGTGGCTCTGGAATCCTTGAAGCAGGAGCCTCCTTTCTTTGTGTAGCAGTGATGAAAGCCTCTGAAGAATAGGTCTGATTTGAAACAGACCCCTCCTCATGTTCCATCTTTTCCTTTTTCCCTTGTGGATTTATGAAATATTCCTATATATCTTGAATTCATCCTGTAGGAAGGGAGTGCCCCAGGGTCTTTAGGGCTTAACTTGTCTGAGGTATTTAGATGGTAGCATTGGTAATATCTGCTGTCTCTCACAAAACCCCCTTACCTTTGTCATTTACTTAAGTTACCATCAGCTGACAAGAAACTATCAACAGTTTTGGGTTATAGTACCAAAAGCAGCAGATGACTAAGAACACATCATTTGTTACTTTTGAGATATGAAGTGGTCAAATCCAGACCTCAAAGAATCACAGTAATTGCAGAAGCATCTTTGACAATGTGTGAACTTAATTGTTATTAATGTTAACTAGTAAACTGCTAAGGAAATTAAGGGAAATGACAGCAATTCCATATTCCTGAGTCATTCTCTCGATTTTTACACCTGGCTATTTCCATTTTATTTTATTTTACTTTTTGAGATGGAGTTTTGCTCTTGTCGCCCATGCTGGAATGCAGTGCCGTGATCTCAGTTCACTGCAACGTTTGCCTCCCTGGTTCAAGTGATTCTCCTGCCTCAGCCTCCAAGTAGCTGGGATTACAGTCACCTGTCACCATGCCTGGCTAATTTTTGTATTTTTAGTAGAGACGGTTTCACCATGTTGGCCAGGTTTCACCATGGTTTCACCATGTTGAGGTTGAACTCCTGACCTCAGGTGATCTGTCTGCCTCAGCCTCCCAGAGTGCTGGGATTACAGGAGTGGAGACACTGTGCCGGGCCTCAGTATCCATTTTAAAAAATAATTCAGGATGCTGTTACCTGAAGCTGAAAGTCATGCTTTAAGTCTCCTGATGAATGCTTTCTTGGGCTTGTCTGATTTAAAGGGAAGGTGGAATTTACAATCTTCCAAAATATATGCTGGAATGTTAGTAGGATTCAGATTAGACACCAGGATTAATAAATTCTCATTATAATTGTAAAAAATTACAAATGATAACAGTAAGGCTTGTGCATCTCCTACCCAGAAGATTTTTATGAAGTTAGCCTTTTGAGAGTATTTAAACTTAAACTTGCTGGAAGAGAAGGGGTAAACGAATATGTGGCAGATTGGATTAGTGGAACACAGGTTGTGAAGAGCCTCAAAGTCTGGGGTTGAATTCTAGCTTTGCAATTTTTTTTTTGAGACGGAGTTTTGCTCTTGTTACCCAGGCTGGAGTGCAATGGCGCGATCTCGGCTCACTGCAACCTCCGCCTCCTGGGTTCAGGCAGTTCTCCTGCCTCAGCCTCCTGAGTAGCTGGGATTACAGGCACGCGCCACCATGCCTAGCTAATTTTTGTATTTTTAGTGGATCCATGCCTGTAATCCCAGTACTTTGGGAGGTTGAGGTGGGCAGATCACCTGAGGTCAGCTAACTGACTTTGGATAACGCTACTAATTTTTAAATTCCCATTTCTCACAGAATAATGCCAGTCCTTGCAGTAGCTTTGAAGGCTTTGCATGGTTTGCTCTCCCCCATCTCTTCCATTTTT